GAGAGCCCTAAACAACATGAAAACCTCTTGATTAGCTTTATTATTGGAACTCAATGTTGCTTTCATGCATGCAGTTATTGGAGTAAGACTTGATCAAGCTTTAGATTTAGAGACCTCTTCAGAGCTGTAAGCAATGCCTGAATCTGCCCTTTCTCACATGTAGCACATGGCAGGAGGTCAACTGCGTCAGACACATTGTCACTGCTAAAAATACCTCATATGGTGAAGGGTAGGGGTGTGCAGGATGCAGGTCACATCACACCCATATGCTTGCTATGATTTATCCAGACAGTTATCCTGCTCAATTCCCATTTGTAATCAAAGACTTTGTAGCTACCAGGGCAACACGTTCATTTATTGAATGATCCATCTGGTCATTTCTGTTTTCACTTGTAGCTCCACCAGAACCTGATTATGGTGAAACAATTACAGTCTCAGGATTAAATATGCAATGTAGGATGCCTCTGGTTTCAGAATATTCAGAGGAGCATGGCAGACACTATTATATTTTAGGTCAGACAGACATATTGATTAGAAGCTAATGCTACATGTTCACTAGATGAAAACTAAAGTTCTTGGGTTTTTACTTTAAAGCAGTTTGTTTAGAGGTACTCCCTCAATGAGGGATTTTTACTTTTTATAATTTCACCCTTTAGTCGTTGAATCTGTATTTGGGCTTACGTAAAGCTGATGCGATGCTGGAAGTGAATTCACTGCTGGGTGGTGTTGCTTTTGAACAGTGTCCACTAATGAAATGATGACGAGAGGAGCAGGACGCATGCACTTGGTTAAGCTTTTGTTATTTTTGACAGATTTGTCTTTGCCTCAGTGATTCTCACTGAGAGAACCAAATATGGATATTGCTGTCAAATAGCCATTCACTTTAGTGAAGATTAAAGTAGTATGTAGCCAAATTAAAGGCAATCCGAGTACATGACATGATAAAGTACTTTACTTTACTGGCTTGGAAGAAACATAAAATAAGACAAATTGTAGAGCTAAATACTAGGCTAACTGCTGAAAAAACAGTGTCCACAGTAATCCTTATTCCTGCAGCTACTTGCATATGTTTTTGTTGGACACATAGGACATGCATATGTATCTATTTCCAGGCATAGTTGGTTTTAGAAGCCTTGACCAAAAGACCAAAAGCTTTTGGAGGTTGAAGTCAGAGTGAGTTCACTTTCAGGTCACAGTGGGGATTCACTTTTATGGAACAAAAGTTAAGTTAATTTGTGTGGTTGCTTGTAGCTGATACACAACATTAGGGATGAAGACTTTGAAGTAAGGTTTGCACTCAGGTTTGAGGAATGTAAAAATCTAACTTCCTAACTTTTGGTGGGACAAAGCAAACACACTTGGTTTATGCAAAGCCACACACATGGACACAGAGCACACTTATAAGATCAGATAATATCCACACAGCAGACTGATGGATCAGTAAGTGAGAAACCTTTCACTTTGCTTCATGTTTAAGTGCTAGAGATCATCTCCATAAACTTCACTAAATTCTCCTCTTACCATTTCCTCTGCCTGTTGCACAAGTCACATTCAAGTAAGAAAAAAAAATGCACACTGAAAGATGGAAAGATGTATGACAAGAAAGAAAAAAAATGAAAAGATAAAATCCTATGTCAAACAGCAATATTGTTTGAATTAAAACAAACATCTGCAATATTTAGTTCTTACCTCTATGGCTGAGTTTGACCCTGGGGACACTCTGTTTGATGCTTGCTCCAACAGGGAGGATGGCCAACACAATCAGTCCAAACAGTGTGACCTCCGGATGGAATAGAGCCATAAACTTCTTCCCTTTGCCTCCATAATTACTGCCAGACAAGCAGAACATAGCCCCAACCTCATTCCAGGTCTGATTGCCCGAGTCCTCTTTCTTCATACTGTGTGGAGTCATCTTGTAGTGTTTTCACTTTGTGCTTTTCTGCAACCCTGGAGGGAGACCAGTGTAAAGAGTCAAGCTAGGGAGGAGCGATCATAAGTGTATGAGGATGCAAGCAGTCTCATCTAACTCCAGAGAGGGGGAATATACACAAACTTCTGTGGCTGTTTCGCCATGGAGCCCTACAGGCATGTCCCCTTCCTTTGCCCATCCTACATCAGCTGTTGCTTGTCACCGGCTCTCCTTTTGTTTCGCCTTTAAATCTGTTTGCCCCAAACAAAGGTCAGACTAACAAAACAGTTGCATTCTACTACTTTTCATCAGGCACGTCTCCGCTTTTCTCTCTCCTCCCATATCCTTTTCACATGGATAACTCAACTTAATTCTTTGCCTTAAGGATACTTGCCAGTAGCTTAAGGATTGGTTGATGACCCTGTCACTTCCTCCTTTATACCATGTAAAAAATGGGCCATGCCCTGTTTAGGACGTCACAATCAATTAAAAATGCCCAGACATTAGTTCACATTCTGAAAAGTTAGCTGTCTGACTAGGATTGAAAAGCTGTGCTTTTAAATAAATGTGTGGTTTAGAATAAGTAGCAGGAGCACAGACTGTTACAAGTTTAAAAAAAAAAGAAGTAAGAAGGAAAAAAGACAAGAACTAAAAATTAACTAATCACTTGTTATATTCTGAAAATCTGTGTTTTAATGAATTTATATATTTTTTCAGTGGTACTTGGACACCTAAAAAGGGAAGCAGTGGAACTAGTATATAAAGATTTGTCAGTGAATCCTGATACTAATTTTCCTTCTTATAAATAATAAATAAATAATTTTTTATTTATATTGCACCTTTCAAGACAGAATCACAAAGTGCTGCACATAAGATTACAAGTCATAAAAAGATTTAAAAAGAGAAAATAAAACAGGCAAAAAATTAACCAAAAGCAGTTTTGAGTTTTGAGTTGTTTTTTAAAAACAGCTACTGAGTCCACAGTTCTTAATGCTTGGGGGAGAGAGTTCCACAGTCTAGGGGCCACAGTGGGAAAAGCTCTATCACCCTTAGTCCTCCTCTTAGTATTTTTTATAGCAAGTAAGCCCTGATCAGATGACCTCAAAGACCTGCTAGGGACATAGGGCTGTAGCAGATCAAAGATGTAGGCAGGTGCCGGTCCGTGCACAGCTCTGTAGGTCAAGACCAGGATCTTAAAATCGACTCTAAATTTAACAGGAAGCCAGTGTAACTGAGATAATAACGGTGTCACATGTGAGTACTTGGAGGATTTTGTCAAAAGCCTAGCTGCAGCGTTTTGCACAACCTGCAGATGATTCATTTTAATTTTCTTAAAATTAAAGTTTCTTGTCAGCACAATTCAAACAATACAAGATGATATTCAGATTAACTTTACCAGCTCAAAAAGAGTGCAGAATCATACAAAATGTTTTTTACACACATTTCAGCTTCATGAAATCTGTGCCCTTTATTACACCGTTGATGCATTCATTGCATCTTCTAAGCACAGACTGAGTACTGTCCCTGTCTTTAACCTGCATTCCTGCAAATTCCACAGCCATTAGGATACTAATTAACCAGACTATTGATGGAGAAATTAATGAATGCATTGAAAGAATGCCTCCCCTTAAGACCTTTTGCCACCATCATTACTTTCCTTCCACCCAATTTCAGAAAGCACACATCAACCTGTCAAGTGACAACATAAACAATGTCAAGCTAAAGCTAGATTAGATATGACATTCACACTCCTATATCTCTAATGTTGACAGCATGTATGCTCCTTAGAAGTCCACCACATACAGAGAATAGCCATTTGATAATGTGTAAGCAGCACCTTTAAAAGAAGGTGATATCCTGAGTAAATATACTGACCCTGGTCTTTGCCCATCGATTTGTACTGCAGGGTAAAATGTGAAACAGATATTAGGTGTTCAACTACAACTCACTTAAGTTTATTTGATTTCTTTCTTCAGTCATCTGATGTTTAAAACTGTAGCTCTTTGTGCAGAAACAGGAGTGAGCGGCACCCTTCCAAGTGCCCCATAGCTTTAAAACGAAGAGGATTAGACTCTGATAAACAGACTGGTGTTTATTTAGGATGACAAATTGAGACGTGTTCACACCTTCAGGGTTAGAAATACAGATATAGAGCTCTGCGTGATGGATGGGTAATCAGCAAAGAGAGTGAGAAAGTTAGGAGTTTAAAATCCATGTAGTCTTTGCACTTTGTGAGCAACACTGATAGTGCTGATGGTGAAGCTTATCCTCCCTACAGTATTTTCAGGAGAGCAGTGACACAATTTCACTCAAGTGATAAGCACTTCAGTAATGCATCTCTTTTCACAGCTTGAGTGCCCACATCCTTCCGCAGCACAGACGTGTGCAGCACCCCGCTAGAAGAATGACCCCCAGGAAAAGAAAAGTACAAGTCTTGGAAGAAAAACAAAAAAAAAACCAACCTCAATTTCTTGAGTAATAGATGACACACACTGGAGGAGGAATGCCAGAGTACCAGTGAGTCAGTACTTTGAAAGTGTCAATAACAGAAATGAAAAGAGAAATAAGGGAAAAAGTGCGCAAGAGATGTGAGTAATGGGGGAAACCAACTTCTTGTGCCATGTAAGTTAAGCTAACACCCCTATTTCCTGGTGACTAGAGTCCTTGTTGTCTTTGGCAGCATGGCCGGCACAGTGCAGGGTGTCAGGAGAAACAATCCTGATAGAGATGGTGACAGATTTAAAGCTAGCAGCCAAGGGCTCCTGGCTTTTGATCTCTCACCAACACAAAGCACCTTTAAATATACTGACTCTTCTGTTTCGGTTTAAACAATACAGTCTTTGCATGCCATAAAACATCTACTCAGTTAGTATTATCAGTGAATCTAGTAGCCGACATGCTGTACAAGAATCGTAAAGAGAAACTAGCTCAAGTGAATACACAACAGAAGTTGCCAGCAGTCATGAGAAAAGAGCAGATGGTGAAGAAGTGCTCTGGCTATGGGCATGCTTGCACCAAGACCACCCCTAATGAGGCATTTAGCAACACCCAGGTGCCCTGTAGAGTACACTATTATCTAACTCCTCCATCTCCACAGGACGGAGTGCATTAGCACAGCTATTTGTCTTTATTCCCTGACCACAGGCACTGACCTAGCAGAACAACATAGGTAATTGTTTCTAGTTCTCAAGACATTAATTGTTTTTCTTGGCAAGAGTCAATCATCTTTTCTTTAGCCTTGTATTTAAGCAAGCATGCAACTCTCTGTGTGTGAGCTAATGTCTCACAGGAAAAATGCTAAAAATACAAACTACAAAGAATATGGAAGAAACATTACATTTTAAAGTGGGTTTACTAACTATAACTCCAGGTATAGATGGAAGTAATTAAGGAAACACGTCACTGTTCCATAAAGACAGGAATCAACCTTACTCTTTGTGTTCTAAAGAAGATGTCATGTCTTTTAGTTTTATGTTAAAATAAAATATTAAAAATAACATTAAATTAACAGTAGCACATCTGTGTCCACAAGCTGTCAATACGACTGATATAAAGGCTCATAATCAGTGACTTTAAAGTATGCTAGGAATTAACTGCTCAAAAAACGTAAATATGAGACATGTGATCCCTGAGGCATTATTCTGGATACAGATCACCCCCCCCACACACACACACACACACCACCCCCAGCTACAATACATGCTTAGAAATTAAAGCTTTTGGGGAACTTAGTATAAATGTGCAAGTTTTTTGTGTAATTTGTTTACTCATTTTATTAAGTAGACATCAAGGCCACAAACTGTGATTCATTTAGCATTTTAATCACTAACGTGATCCCACATTATCTGACTGAAACATAATATCTAACAGCGCAGCATGTGCATCTCCTGGGAAATTAGATATCGCTCCAGAAATTGAATGCAAAATAAATTGCCAAAATATCCCCTTACATGCAACATTTAATCATCCAAAACATGGCGATGGAGACAGAGATGGGCTTTGAAGTTGAAAACACTGCAGTAAATTAGTCCCAAATAATGAAGGAATACACAGTGCAAACCATGCTTGGTAAAGATGCCAAATATTTCTCCATGCAACAGAATAGGGTTGATCCCTTACTAGTCGGACAGCCTGGATTTCCTGAAACGTTTACCTTTAATTATATCGTATAACTTCTAAAATGTTTGATTACCAAATCTCTCACATAACTATACAAAATTAGACTCTATGGACTCCAGACAGTTGATTCTACTGCCCTGGTCAATGGATTTAAGTGAGGATTTCCCAGAGTAAATGACTCAGGTCTTAATTTAAACAATATAAACCCACAATTACACTTTGCTCTAAACCACTATGCATGAAATCTGTGAATGGAAATGCCTAAACAAGAGGACATTCCAGTTGATTTCCTTCCGTTCTGGTAGTGAAGAGTACGTCTGTGGGTAATACCAAAGAAGATGGATTAAATTCCAACCCTGAGGTCCTGTCTGTCTACATTTTGTCTGTATCTCAAAACACTGGAAATGGAACACTCCTGGAGGCTGCTGGTATGGAAACCAAATACACCAAAGCCAGATAATATGCCCCAGCACCTGTTATTAAAGACTCACTTTATGTTTACTGTTGGTCTTCAACAATAGAAGACACAGTTCACAGCTCCTCACAACCACATGCAGTTGTCACAGAGCCAGCTCAGGTCTCCTGTCACACACAAGGGTTAATGGAAAGCTGGGAGGAAGCAGCAAGGAGTGATACTTGATCTATGGTTTAACTCGTCCACAGAGAAAATGGCAATTAAAAAACATGAGGTGAAAACAAAGCCAGGGAATATGTAAAAGAGAGAACAGTCCATGTAACTGAGACGGTTGGATGAAGATAAACACGCAGGTAGTTTTGCCGATAATTGACAACAAAACAAGTAACTCTACTCACACAGAACAGGTCATGACGCCGGAAAGCCACTCAGAATCTGTATGAGTGCCTGCATGTATGAACAAATGTGTGCGTGTAAGCTAATACCATCCTGAGGGAGGCAGATGGGAGCAATATAGGGCATCAAAACAGTGACTGACATTTGTAAGTGCACCCACTTGTATCCTCATGGCCTGAGGATATAGGGGTACACCCATCTAGGCTATGCAACAACTCTTCTCAAGACCAAACTGTCATCTACACACTTGAGAAGCAACTGTATTGTTCTTTGTAAGTGCTGGAAAGACTCTGTTATGCAGTTTATCTCCATATGAGCCTAAGCACAGTTCATTTACAGAGTGGGGACACAGAGAGGCCACAGAAAGACAGCCAAACTGAGCCAGTCAGTCTGTCTGCAAGTCACTGGCACCTAGCTGTTGTAGACACTCTAAACATACTAACATCACTGCAGTAAAAGTGTCTTCCCAGTTGCTTTGTCTGTCAGCACTGAGGGATTTTGCAAACATGACCATATTAGGCCAGAATAGTGTGCAGCATACAAGTATGTTTTAATAACACTTTCCACCCGAAACCTGTTGAGTTTTGCGAAAGACCCCTTTAAGGTTTTAGTTTTCGTCACTATCCAGGAAAAAGCCTCAGCATGAGACTGCACTGACTTCTGACAGAGCTCAGAAGTGTTGCTGTAGGCCATTTAAAACACAGCTCAATATTGATGCTGTGGTTGTTTTAGAGAAATGTTGGATTGGTCCAGACATGCCACATAGAACTGGAATGAATTAGTGCACACAGGAGGCACAACTGTAGCACGGCATGGGAAGGGCATTGATTGGCATAGCAAACAATGGAATACACCCCTTTAATCAGTCCAACATAGTAACTTATTTTTTCACATGGAAGGTTCCTGTCACAGCCACAGCAGTCTTGAGCCTTCCCCATTCCCGGCCAAGTAAACATGGGGATGTGCGTGTATACTGCAGTGTGTATGTATTAGGTATGCCTGACAGCATCTCAATGACGCAATGTTTGGACACTGTTTAAAGGAGAAAATCAGACAAGATTTTCTGTCTTGTCTTTCTGTCGCCCAAGGCAGAAGTCATTTATTTACCTCAGTCATGCTGATCGAAACCCCTGAAACACTGCCAGAGAAATCAATGCATCCACACAAGTACAAACTCCCCTCCCTCCCTCCCTTGTTTGCCTCTCTCAGAACCACCAGATCCCAGTGCAAAGTTAGGTAAACCTTTAAAAAAAATATGGGGAGAGTGGACCATTGAGTCTAAAGAACTACATCACTACTTGTTTTCTTTTCTGCTGGACTGTAAACCACTAACACGCACAAACACAAATAAATGACCTCAATGAGGTAAACGTGTCCACGTCAACATTTTACTGTATGTATGATTAATTCAGACATGTACTTGGCTTAAGTCCATATAGTCACATTCAGTTTGGGGGCATTTAGAAGTCCCACACACTCAGACCCCCTCTCCAAACACTGTGCAAAGAAGACAAAAATTCTCCCTCTTACCAACTTGTCATATATCCATATACAGTCTCTGTACTTTAAACGATCTATCAAGAAAAAAGAAAACAATAAAGAAACTTAAATATTGATTAATACGTTTAAGTTTGTAAATCCAGCTTAATAAAATGTACAAACACACATAAAGCATTAAACCCCCTTTAAAACTCTGCAGTATTAATTTATTAATTTAAACTCTACTGTGGTCCACCTGACACACGGTTATAACTTGGTGTAGATTATTACCCTCGTTATTATTATGGCGTGTTCCTCACCTGCTCGCTCGCTGACTTCGGCTCTTCTCGGGTGCAAGTGCACCACATGAATAGCACTGTCTCAGAAAGTTGTCCGTTTCAAACATACACACAAAAAACCCCGACCAAAAGTATGACACTTGGCACAACTTCAACCCGACCAAAAGGAAAGTGGATGGATAAAATGAGGTCTTCCTGCAGATATTTCCACTCCCTGTAATGTTAGTTAAACTGAAAAGCGCTCTTGAACTCTTCGTGCACTGCGTGTGTGTATTTTGGATGGCTGGGTAGTCTGTGGCAGTACGCCCCGGGAAAGACAGACGGCAAACTCCCAGTTGTGCTGCTGCTGCTGCTGGAGGGGAGGGGCCCTCAGCATCTGTACCGCCGTTTTTTTGGACGCTCCACAGCTTCAGTTTCATCCCTCCGAAAGTGCTCCGAGTATTAGAGTTACAATGGGCCTTAATAACGGTTATGTTTTTCGGCTAATAGCATGATCAAAATAGCTTAAAACTGATCTGAGATAGACTCACCAGTCACAGCTCGTGTTACTGCAAAACATGTTAGTGATCATGTGGTATTTTATAATTATTAGTGGCAAAAATATGGCTGAAAATATTATTGCAGTGGACTGACTTAACCACTGAGGACTGCCTCACATTTTTCTGTGGTGCTTTTCTCCTCTTATTGACCACTCAGTGCTTCACTCTACAATAATGCCCTCACCCATTTTTTCTTTAAGCATGCATCAATTTATCTGTCACACCAGTGAATATGTTGGGGGCAAGCCTGATTTCAGTATCTTGCTAAGTGCACTTCCACCTACAAGCTGTACAGTAGGAGGTGGGGATCAAACCAATGACATTCCAGTTTACAGATGATTATCTCTTTTTAGGACCTGTATTTAATTGTTTAATTTGACATTGTTTTCAAGTAAATTGGAGTAACTCACATCGATTTAATCCCGAAAATATGTTGTAATCCCCTGGGGAAATGGTTAAACTGTCAGTGTTTTGATATATATGGCCATTTGTGTCCAGTCAAAGTCTATGCGGCTCATTTTTGTAAACTTGTGTGTACTCTGGGTTTCCCTGATCTACTAACAAGCAGTAAGAACCAAGAGCTGAATGTTGGTTCAGGCAGCAGATTTTGGCCGTGTGTCACAAAAGACTGTGCAACGAATGGAGGAGTTGATTTTGAAGTAAACATGGATTTCTTGGCACTCTCTATTCATGTACACACAGACGTGAGTCAATCCAAATCTGCACTTCTTGTGAGTTGTGGAAGGGTTAGAGCCAAACATGCACAAAAAATGAATTTATTCAAGAACAGAGCTGTAATGTTGGGCCAAGAAAAGAGAGTTGCAGGATATCCCACCCATAAACTTAGATGAAAATGCTTGTTATTGATTTTTGGTTGTGATGATCATATCACTTTTCCAGTGGTGGGTGTGTATCTTCAACAAATTCGACTGGGTCCCGGTTACCCAAGAGGATTAGGTTAAAGGTCAACAGGTGAAAAGAGTATCCGCCCGCACTGTTGGGAAGTTTAGTGTCAGGGTGTGATCTTCCTCAGGATATCGTTCTCTTACGCACACTCATGCAAATACACACACACAAGCGGAAAGCAGTTAGTGATGACTTGTACTGACGACATAAGGGTGCACACTGTCCAATGTTCATTTGATCCCTGCCCATTCTCCACAGAGCTTTGTCAAAAGTGTATGTGTGTGTATGTGTGTGTGTGTGTGTGTGTACTTGTAATGTAAACCTGTTTTTGTTTTTTAGGTCAGGATAATGTTTGGAACATATGTTATATGATGAGATGATAGTATGTGGTTAGACGATATGGTATGGTTGGGGTAAATGATTGGGAAATTAATGTAAGTTCATGTGTGAAGTGATTGAAACAACTGTGTGTGCCTGCGTGTGTGGGGAATCGAGTAAAATACTTGCACAAATTGATTGATTTCCTTGGGGTTTTCCCTGGGATTTGGGATGAGTGACATAAGAGTTTAGGCTCATACTGGAATACATTACTACATTTCACAAACTCGAAGCACATATATTTGTCTCCAAAAACACCCAAATGTTTGTTTATTTATTTATCACGTACTGGACCATTATATCCTGTTATTTAAACATAGTATAGAAATTGCTCAAACTGCAGGAGAGAGACAACAATAATACCTGCTCAGATTCAAATTGGAGACTTTGTGGTGCACGATTAGCAGCTTAACCTATTAGCAACAGAAGCACATATGTTAAGTAACTCGAGACCCTTTGTGGGATTTTAAACAATGTTCAAACAATTTAAAATCTGAGGGATGCTGACGGTGATTTCAGTACCAGAACATGCTTTTAGTGGACAGTTTAACAAATTGTGGGAAAGTTTGGCTGAGTTATTTAAAAGAAATAAAGAAAAAAACAGCCCAGAGCGTTATACATTGTTCCAATTAATATTACAAGTAGATCACTTTATACAAGCTGGAGCTAGCATATTCTAGCTTATAGAATGTCCACTTAAGTCTACAGGATAAGAAGTTGTGTATAAAGGTTTTACCTCTAATTGATGCTTCTTAGGCTACGTCCACACGTACCCAGGTATTTTTGAAAACGCAGATTTTTCTATGCGTTTGCACCTTTTGTCCACACGTAAACTGCGTTTTTGGTCACTGAAAAAGGAGATTTTTAAAAACGCCTGCCAGGGTGGATATTTTTGAAAACTCAGTTTTTGCATTTACGTGTGGACGAGAAAAATGGAGAAAACGCAGCGTCAAAGGTGTGCGC